TCAGTAAGTCATTTTTGAAGAGCAGGCCACAGAATGAGTAGGCAGATAGAACACTATGAGGTCATTAAATTGACAAACTCCCCAACCCTCCTGCTGTATTCACAATGTGCAGCAATCCTCATCTGTGAGACACTTTCTAAATTCCAAAGCTAATTTTAAACTGACTCCTTAAAAACTTTTTTAAAAAAAACATGAAATTAATGTAATTTTTAAAGGTAAAATGACCTGCAAGTCAAAAACGTGTCTAACAATATGAATTTTTACACTTCTAGGTAAACAAAAATGAATATCCTCTCCATCCTGAATCCCACATCAAACTCATGTGGAGTAAATTTGTTTTAACAAATTTTAAATTCTTAGAAGGTGATCTTATGAAGTATACAGCACACTGAGGCCAATCAATGCTTTTGTAATCAGTCAAACCTTTGCCTCTAAGTGCTCAGCAACCACAAACTGAATTTAGTGGAGACAGCTCAGTGGTTCTCCAACTCGATTTAGTCTACTGATGGCTGCTATGTGACTATGTGGTCAAAACTTTCACTTTCATTCACTTTATGCAGACATCCAGCTGATAATCTTAACATTTCATTTAATAGGGAAAGTAACTGACCTGCAATGATGAATCAGTAATGGAACATGAAGATTACCCTACTTAACATTCTCCAATGGTTCCCTAAAGCCTTCAGAATAGAGTTCAGACTGGTTAACTGGCAATTGCAAATCTTCCAGGTCTGAGCTTCATCTACCTTTCTCGTACCATTTCTCAATCTTTCCCCTTCTTCTTCTCCAGCCTAGGCATGCTAATCGATTGCCTGGATAGTTCCCACTCACAATGCAAAAGTGCGTTTAGATGCCTACATCCATTTGGAGTGTTATCATAAAGTAATGTCAGCCACACCCGAAGTGCAGGAATAGTCAACCCACTTTCAATGAGACATGTCACATCAACATTTGCCTTTTCATCATAAATCTCTTGCTAAAATAATTGATACTCACAACCTCCATTTCTTCATCATCCAATCATTTCTTAAACCTTTGAGAACTTGCTTCCCCTAACATTACTCAACTGAAAATGCTTCTTTGAAAGCAATTCATTTCATTCATTGGCAATAGTCTTCACAAACACTACACCTCTTTAAATTCTCTAAAGCCTCTATGAGTGCTAGTCACTGTTACTCTTTCCTTTCCTTTTCCATCTGTGACAATATCATTTTTTTCTGAGTTTCTTTCTCTGTTGCCTTCCTGGTTCCACTGTCCTCCACTGATGCCACATCTTTTTCTAATTAAAGATATTATTCTGGGATCATTAGATGCAAAACATCAGCAATAGGATCCCTCTCACTCCCTCAACTCAACAAGCCCAAGTCTTATGTGTATCCAGTCAATTCTCGCTTCTCTGGGAAGAAGAAGAAACTTCAGTCTAGCAAAAGGGCACTGGTTTCATTAGTTATGACTTAGGTTTATATCTCAGGTTTATCATACATTCTTTTTAAAATTTTTTTTATTAAGTCATAGCTGTGTACATTAATGCGATCATGGGGTACAGTGTGGTGTTTTCATATACAATCTGAAATATGTTCATCAAACTGGTTAACATAGCCTTCATGTCTTTTTTTTTTTTTTTTTTTTTTTTTTGAGACAGAGCCTCAAGCTGTCCCACTGGGTAGAGTGTTGTGGCATCACAGCTTACAGCAACCTCCAACTCCTGGGATCAACTGAGTCTCCTGCCTCTGCCTCCCAAGTAGCTGGGACCACAGGTGCCGGCCACAATGCCTGGCTATTTTTTGGTTGCAGCCGTCATTGTTGTTTGGCAGGCCTGGGTTGGATTTGAACCCACCACCTTAGATGTATGTGGCTGGCGCCTTAGCCGCTTCAGCCACAGGCGCAGAGCTCATTTTCTTAAGACATTTATATTCTACATTTAGAAAGATTCACATGTACCCCTGTAAGATGAACCATAGGCGTGGTCCCACCAATCACCCTCTTATCACACATTCTTGAGCAATCTGGCATGAAGTATATTACTTAACCAATTCAGGCCTCAGCTTCTCCTTTGCAAATTGGAGAAAATAATGCCTATCTTCTAATATTACTTTATGAATGACAGTCCACAACGTATATATTCCAATGGTGGGTACAGGAGGCACTCAAGTTCTTAATTATTACTGTTATTTCTACACCCACCTCCCCCAAACTTGTATAGTCGTTCTGTCCCAATTCATTTCTTCCAACATGTCATATTCATCAACAAAAGGTAAATCTTCTAGAAGGCAGATATGAACAGGTTTCTTTTCTAGACCAACGGCTCCCAATTGCTTACTGAATCAAAACCCAATTTCTCCCTATTTAAAAATCTTCCAGTCCTAGCCTCAACCTCTTCTTCAACCTTCTCCCTGCTAAATTAATAGAATTCTCTAAGCAAACTGGACTTTTTCTGGTCCTCAAACATACCATATATTCTTTACCTAAAAAGCTCACCTCAGATTCTACCTCCTTTATGAAACTTACCTTTCCAGGAGATTTCACCTTCAAAGTATTTTATTGGTACTTATTTTTTAAGGTAGTCATAGTCTGGCTGAGATTCAATTATTTGTGCATTACTAACCTTTCCTGCATATATATATAATATACACATAATATATATGCATTACTAACCTTGCCTGTATATACATATGCAAATAATTTACAAATAATATATATTACGCATTTTAAACCTTTCCTGCTTAGATTGTAACCCATTTGAAGGGAGAAACTAGGTTCTTCTTATTCATGCTACTATTTACCACTTTGCTGAGTGATATTTGCATATTAAAAGACACAAACAAAAAACCTAGAGACTTTCTCAAGGAATTACTTTCCTCAGTTTCTCATGAAGGGGTGGGGATAGGATGGAAAGGAAAAGTGTGTACACAGGATATTAATAGAGGTACTGCTGGCTGAATTTCCACTTGGAATTCTCCCAGTAGCTGAAAAAGGCAGGGTTGAAATAGCCATCCTAGAAATTGACCAGGTAAGACTTTAAGATCTGTTGATCAATTGCAATCAACCTCTTGGGAAACCCTTTACTAATTTGCTAAGTTTGCCCATATTTCTTTTCTTCCCCAGAGCTAGTTTTCCTAACCTCCCTGTCTCCTCTAAACAAAAGATTTTAAACTCTCAGTCTAACACACAGGGATATAACACGTATGTTTAATGTTAGTCTATGCAGTAGATGTAGTAGAGTGAACACAGGAATTTGAGGACAAATCAGTCTGGGTTCATATCTGAGAATTTTATTTCTTTAAAATTTCTTTCAAACAAAATCCAAGACCAAATTTTTATGGGCATTATCTTAAGGCAGCACCTAATAAGTGCTTTTGTACATAGTACAAATTCAGTATGTAATAGTTAAAAGAAAATGAATTTATAGTTCATAATTTCAGGACTTAATTTTAATTGCAATAGAAAAATGTGAAAAGACACAAACTAAGCATGACACTTGTGGGCTCACCCCATATCAATACCAGGCAGGTAAATCCTTAGGTGCCTAGTGGTATACAGAGATTAAGTATTCCCAATAAGCCCCTTGAGAAAAGATTTTATTTTATACTTCTTGGTACTGTGTCAAATCCAAAGATAATCTGTCCTGCAAGAGTATCTTGGAATCAGAAATAGTGAATGTTCCACAATTCAAACAAACTGAGTATGGGTCACATCTGTCTATTTTTCAACTAACTCTTGTGATCCTCAATCACTCCACTGAGTGAGCAAAGTTTGCAATTATTCGGCCCAATTTACATACCATAAGATCACATTGCTAGCAATAAAATCCAGTTCCAGACCTACTCTCCTTCCTACCACTGAAAGTCACAGAAACATAGAATAACATAAATGGAAGGACCCTAGAAATCATACAACCTTTTTTTTTTTTAAGATGAGGAAAACTCAAAGCAATAAGAGGTCCCGTTAGTGCGAGGGTCCTACGAAAATTAGGTCAAATAACTTGATGCAGAATCCATGTCTCTCTGAACATACATGTATTTCTTAAAATCTGGAGGCCTGAAGAGACGCCAAGGCTTCTATTAAGTCAGAGATAACACATTCCTACATAGCCAGGTAGCAAGTTTAGTTTAGCCCACAATGTTTTCTTTAAAAAAAAAAAAAGGCAGGAATAGAGGGGACGTCAAAGGTGGTAGGCAAATGCTCTTGCAATTTTGCAACGCCTACAGCACAGGCCTTTATTGTAGACTTTAACTACTTTAATGAAGAGATAGATAGTTGGCTGTAGTAGAAACAGCACAGGACTTTGAGGACAAATTAGTCTGGGTTCAAATCCTCACACTACCAATTACTATGCAGTCTTGGCCAGGATACTTCTTTGTGCCTCCATTATCTCATCAGTAAAATGGAGACAATTGAGATAATTCATGTATGATGTGAAAATCTGGGTAAAAAGTATAAATACTTGAGAATAACATAGCCAATGGCCAATAAAAGGCAACCAAAGTCCTGTCTCCGGTAAAGCTCTTAGGCCCCCTCTGACTTAAAAGGCCTGAACCCTGGCCCAAGTCAGCCCCTATAATCAGTGCCCCGACCAGAGTCCGCGGAGACAGCCCTGGGCCTCGTACTCGGACCACGGAGCACGCTCGCCAGGTTTCGCCATCTCTCTTTCCCCCTACCCTCCTCTCCGAGCCCGAGGCCCGACAGCGCTTCCACCAGTTATCTCCTGCTGCTAGCGTCCAGAGGGCACTAGGAATTTTGTTTTCCTGGTCTTTTTTAATCTCTTGGGTTTTCAGTCCAGGTCCACGATCAGCAGCCCCAGGCCACCGCCCTCCAAGGTCTAGGCCACACCTCGCCTCTGGTGCAGCACCAGGTTGGCTCGCGGAGGAAAGTCAAGTCAGGTTGCCTAGGAAACCAGGGGCAGGGCTGGGAAACGCCAGCTCCGCGCGGGATTTGCGCAGGCGCAAGGGCCCTTGGCCTCCGATTATCGCGAGGCTAGCTTCCCGGAAGTTCCACGTCAGTCAGCCGGTCCGTGGGGTCGGTGGGGCTTGGGGCCTGTGTCTCCGGTAGCAAGTGGGAGCGCTCGGGCTCGGACCAACGCAGCCATGGTAGGTCCAGACCCCGCAGGAAGGAGGGAGGCCCCGTCGGCTGCGGGTGATTCCTGGGGCCCCTGGACTGAGGGCTGTGGTTGGCCGTGGTCTGGGCTCCTGCTACGGCCGCTGCCTCTGGCCTTGCGGAGTCCTAGTCCAGTTGGAGCTGTGGGCAGGAGGTAGCTGTGGGCCCCAGGAGGCCGGGATGGTGTGGGGACTCGGTGCCTGCGAGTGAGGGGTCCTGACTGCCCTGGAGCTTACCGGAGCTCCGGCGGTCTGCAGCGGAGTTGGTGGTAGGGAAATAACAGAGGCCGAAACGTTGAATTCTGTAGGAGGCTTTGGCAAAATTACTTCATTTTACTCTTAAAACAGTGAGAACTAATCATGCATCCCTCTTGGGGTCTGTTCCTGGAATAGTGTGTGCTGACTACGAACTTAAGCAGAGAAGCCAAGGGAAAAAATGTATATGGAATCAGAAATGGAATTTCAAATACTTTGGAATCTTAGCTCTTAGGTTTCTAAGGAGAAAAGGAGAGTCGAGGAGCTGTTGATGATACTGGCTGGAGTGCTTTTCTGCATTCGTAAATACAATGTCCAGAATAGAAGTCATGACAGC